ATGATTCGCCTTGGCCTCCCAAAGTGTTGGGATTTTAGGCGTGAGGCACCACGCCCAGCCCTTCACCTTTCTGTGGATCACTATTCCTCTAGATACAACTTCCCAGCCACACCGATGGGGAAGAGCGCACTCCCAGGTTTACACTGACTGCTGTAGGTTCTTCCCAGGGTCACACAGCCTGGGGTGTGGATCCTCTTGGAATCACACAGGTGAGGGTGTAGACACACATGATGTTACTAGATTTTGGAGTAAGAAATCCTGGGGTCAGTCTGGGCGCAGTGGCTCACGCCTGTAATTCTAGCGTTTTGGGAGGCTGAGGCAGGTGAATTACCTGAGGTCAGGAGTTCAAGACCAGCTTGATCAACATGGAGAAACTCCGTGTCTACTAAAAATACAAAATTAGCCAGGCGTGGTGGTGGGTGCCTGTAAACCCAGCTACCTGGGAGGCTGAGGCAGGAGAATCACTTGAACCCGGGAGGTGGAGATTGCAGTGAGCCGAGATCATGCCATTGCACTCCAGCCTGGGCAACAGAAACTCTGTCTCAAAAAAATAAAAAAGGAAACTCCAAGCCATTGTCACTGCTGGACTCACAGAGCCTGGCATGAGGACACTCCTGAGGTCTCACAGGCTCTTGTGTGAATGCTGCTGAATTTGCACTGTAATAGGTGTGGCTACACCTGTGGTCACACGGCCTTTTGTGTGGACACTTCCACCATACATTCTTGGGCTGTGCATATTCATAGATTGGGGTGTGGACATTCCTGTGGTCACACCGACTTTGGTGAGAAGACTCCTGGGTTAAGTCACCATGGTGTGGACACTCCTAGACTGACACAAAATGGGGTCTGGACATTCCCGGAGTCACATGGACTGGGGTGTGGTTATTCTTGTGGTCAGAGACTGGAGCGTAGACATGCCTAGAAACACACACTCGAGTTTAAACGCAGTTTCTGACTGGAGATTGGACAATGCTTGTCCCAGACTTGAGTGCGTATACTCCTGGGGTCACACACTGTGACTGGGGTGAGTCACAGTCAGGTGTGGAAACAGCTGGGGTGGCAGACTGGTATGTGGATACTCCTGAGGTTATTGGACTGTGGTGTGGATAGTCCTTGGGTCACCGAGTGAGTAAGTGTTTCTAAGGACACAGGATTAAGCTGTAGAAAACAGTTCTGCTCAGGTAGTTGGGGAGTTTCTGTCAGCTCCTGTTTGTTAAGTTAAAGAAATTTAGGATAGCAGTCCAGGTAGACTTTCTGATGTTTAAGACAGGTTCTTAACCAAAAAAATTTGTTCTGGAGGCCGGGTGCAGTGGCTCACACCTGTAATCCCAGCACTTTAAGAGGCTGAGGCGGGCGGATCACCTGAGGTCAGGAGTTCAAGACCAGCCTGGCCAACATGGTGAAACCCCATCTCCACTAAAATTACCAAAATTAGCTGGGCGTGGTGGCGGGCACTTGTAATCCCAGTTACTCAGGAAGCTAGGGCAGGAGAATTGCTTGAACCTGGGAGGCAGAGGTTGCAGTGAGTTGAGATCACACCACTACACTCCAGCCTGTGTGACAAGAGCGAGACTCTTTCTCCAAAAAAAAAAAAAAAGAAAAGAAAAAAGAGGCTGAGGTGGGTGGATCACTTGAGGCAAGGAGTTTGAGACCAGCCTGGCCAATATGGCAAAACCTCAGTTCTACTAAAAATATAAAAAATTAGCTGGGCATGATGGTGCATGCCTGCAATCTCGGCTACTCAAGAGGCCGAGGCAGGAGAATCACTTGAACCCGGGATGTGGAGATTGTAGTGAGCCAAGATCACGCCACTGCACTCCAGCCTGGGCAACAGAGCGAGACTCTGTCTCAAAATAAATAAATTTGTTCTGGGGAACCCTTAGGCATCTGGTTAAATCAGTGAACCCCTTCACAGAATATTTTTAAAGGTACGTACACACACACACACACACACACACACACACACACACACACGATTATAATGGAAGCCAATTACATTGAATTACAATTACTACTATATATTAAATTGAAACAAAATTGAGATGCAGTAATATATGGGCTTTTAAATTAATACATCAAATTATAAGATCTGCTATCATTCCAAGAGGTGACAAATATGAACAATACTTCAAGATGCCCTTTTTATGTTACATTACAGTTGTAACTGGTTTGTATTGGTGGGAAAATCCCAGGTACTGCTTTTACTATTGTGATTTGTTGCCAGCATTTATAACTTGGGAGTAAGGCTAAATTTCAGTTATATTACTGAAAATGAAGATGTAACATTTTCTTCCATCAAGTTTATGGTTACCCGTCGCTTCTATCCAGGTCTTTAAGAATCCTTCCCGTTAGGGGAAATTCTGGATATAATCAGGACACTCCTGAAGATGTTTAAAGAGGTAAGACCTCACCCAAGAATTCCTACTGCAGTGCAGACAGACTTCTGTGGTTTCTTTCCTCATTGTCTTCAGGGTTGCTGCAGATCCCTTCTCAGACCTTGTTTGTCCAGGCCTCGTTGTTGAGATATTTTGAAAACAAGTTCATCCACAAGTTCCACTTTTCCTGACATTGAGTAGTCTCTGAGTTGTATCAGCTTGCCAGCTAACCAAAAGTCAACGAAAGTATTTTGTTTTGTTTTTTTTTTACAGACAGGGTCTCGCTCTGTCACCCAGGCTGGAGTGCAGTGGTGCAGTCACAGCTCACGACAGCCTCAGCCTAAGCTCAAGTGATCCTCCTGCCTCAGCCTCCCGAGTAGCTGGGATTACAGGCAGGCATGTGCCACCACACCCAGCTAACTCTGCTGCTAACATTTTTGTGACATTTCCTCTTACTTTTATGGTGAACTGTAACATATAGAAAATGCATAAAACATATATATGTTCAGTTGAATGAATAAGTACAAGGTGTTACTTGGTATAATTGCAGGATGTTCACTGTCATTGTTGTGCAGTTCTTCACCATGAGTATGCCATGATGGAATGGGCATACTACAGATGGTGCTGCTAGCAACATTCTAGGACTCAATTCTTTCTTTCTTTTTTTTTGAGATGAAGCTTCATTCTTATTGCCCAGGCTGGAGTGCAATGGCACAATCTTTGCTCACTGCAACCTTCACCTCCTGGGTTCAAGTGATTCTCCTGCCTCAGCCTCCCAAGTAACTGGGATTACAGCCATGTGCCACCACGCCCAGGAATTTTGTATTTTCAGTAGAGACAGGGTTTCACCATGTTGGTCAGGGTGGTCTCAAACTCCTGATCTCAGGTGATCCACCCACCTCAGCCCCCAGAGTACTGGGATTACATTACATGTGTGAACCACAGCACATGACCTTTTTATTTTTGGAGACGGAGGGTGTCTCACTCTGTTGCCCAGGCTGGAGTGCAGTGGTGCATTCTCAGCTCACTGCAACCTCCACCTCCCGAATTCAAGCGATTCTCCTGCCTCAGCCTTCTGAGTAGCTGGGATTATAGGCAGCTGCCACCATGCCCGGTCTCTAGGATTCATTTCTTAGGAGTGGAACTGGCACCCATGCAGCTTTAGTAGATAATGCCTAATGGTCTTCCACAGTGGCTGCACCATTTTACATGCCCAGTAGTGTGTATGAGGCTTTCAATTGCTGCATATCCTTCCAAATACTTAGTGTTGTCAATATTTTGAGTTTTCACTTCCATTTTCCTGATGAGCAGCTTTTCACATGCTTACTGGCCATTCTCATTTTTTTCCTTATTGATTTATGGGACCCTTTAAATATTAGAAATTGTAAATCTCTTTTCACACAATGACTTGCTGTTTCAATTTCTCTTAAGGTGGCTTCTTATGGCTGGGTGTGGTGGTTCACGCCCGTAATCCCAACACTTTGGGAGGCCTGAGCCAGACAGATCTTGTGAGGTCAGGAGTTCGAGACCAGCCTGGCCAACATGCGAAACCCCTTCTCTACTAAAAACACAAAAATCAGCCAGGTAAGGTGGTGGTACATGTCTGTAATTCCAACTGTAATTCCAAAACATGTCTGTACATGTCGGGAGGTGGAGGCAGGAGAATCTCTTGAACCCAGGAGGCAGAGGTTGGAGTGAGCTGAGATAGTGCCACTGCACTCCATCCAGCCTGGGCGACACAGCAAGACTCCCTCCATCTCAAAACAAAACAAAACAAAAAAGGTCAGGCGCGGTGGTTCACGCCTGTAATCCCAGAATTTTGGGAGGCCGAGGTGGGTGGATCACCTGAGGTCAGGAGTTTGAGAGCAGTCTGGCCAACATGGTGAAACCCTGTCTCTACTAAAAATACAAAAATTAGCTATGCATGGTGGTGGGCGCCTGTAATCCCAGCTACTCAGGAGGCTGAGACAGGAGAATCGCTTGAACCCAGTAGACGGAGGTTGCAGTGAGCCGAGACTGTGTCATTGCACTCCAGCCTGGGTGACAGGGCAAGCCTCCATCTCAAAAAAAAGGTGGCTTTTTGTGATGGCAGACTAGTCTGAATATGCTGCTATGTCATTGTCAGAAAGGACCATCCTCTAACATCGCAGTTTTAGCACATGTGGCTATGGATAAACTTTCCTCCTATACCATGTGCAGTTCCACCTTTGGGACTTGGCTATTTCCTTTACCCAGAATACTCTTCCCTCCGATAAATACACAGCTTCCCTCCGGCAGTGCCTTCAGGTCTTTGCTCAAACATTACACTCAGAGGAATGTCTGAGGCCTTCTATGACAATCCTTTTTAAAAAGTACAAACTGACTGGGCGCAACAGCTCATGCCTATAATCCTGGTACTTTGGGAGGCTGAGGAGGGCAGACTGCTTGAGCCCAGTAGACCAAGATGAGCCTGGGCAACATGGTGAAACTCCATCTCCCCCCAAAATACAAAAATTTGCTGGGCATGGTGGTGCATGCCTGTAGTCCCAGCTACTGGGGAAGCTGAGGTAGGAGGATTGTTTGAACCTGGAAGATGGCACCACTGAACTCCTGGGCGACAGAATGAAACCATGAAATAAAAAAAAAAAAAAAAAAAAACCAAAAAAACACACCAAAAGATGAAAACTGCCATGCCTAGAATTCCTGATTCTCTTCACCCTGATTTACTTTTTTCTATTTTTTATATCCCATATTACTCTTACATGTTACATATATTGCAAGGTGTGTAAATGGAGAAATGCAAGCTATATAGTGTGTGTGTGCGTATATGTAGTCTTGCACTCATGGACTGTTTTATTGATTGTTGCCTCTTTCCCAAACTGGAAGCTCTGTGAGAACCAAGATGTTTGTTTTGCTCCCTGCTGTATCTACAAACCCAGAACAATGCCTGGCACTCAGTATGTGCTCAATAAATGTTTACTGAATGCCTCAAATGTAAAATGCTCAAAGCAGTTCCTAGGATATAACAACAGATATTTAGAAAACGGCTTGTTGATTAAAATCTTATCAGTTGACATAAAAATTTCAAAGGTGAAATTTTACTGAGGTTTTTCATAAAAGTGGCCCTTACTCAAACCCTTAGATAACAAGGCAAACTTACCGTAATAGGTTAAGGTGAACTACTCATTTCATTGTCTTCCATCTACCCAAGAAAAAGAAAAGTGACTCACATGTTTGGTGAAACTTTTCCATTCATTATGCTTGGTTTTACCAATTTTTTATAGCTATTGGGAGGCAGGAAAGAGAATTTTGGCCCCAGAAACCATGAGGTTTGGGTCAGAGAGAGGCAAATGGGGAAGGGGTCAATGTAGGCTCAGAGTCACATTTCCAGACCTCAGGGGCCAGCAGGGTGTGGCACTGAGGGGCGGCCAGGGGCTGGGGAAATGTGTCCACTCTGCTGCTGGGGCAGTCCTGGGGGCGGATCTCCTTGGCCAGCTGCCCCTTCTTCTTCAACGTGCAGGCCTCCTGGTATGGTGGTGAAATGGGGGGCTGTGTAGGTGGAGTATACTTGTACTCTGAGCCATCCTCTAGCTGCAGGGACAGAGGGGTAGGGAGACAGTCAGGACCTGGGAACCTAGGACAGCCCTTCCTCCCACCCACCTACTGTTGGTTGGGCACTCACGTCCAGTGGGTAACTGCGGTCCGAGTCATAGGAGCTCAGGTCCCCACAGGTCACAAAAGGCACAATGATGCGAGTGGGACCATCCAGCTGGTTGAAATCTGAGTCTTAGGAACAGGGGGAGACAACTGAGAACAACGTCAGGACGCCTGGGGCCAGTCATGACACAGGCAGCGGCATGGGTGCCAGGCCTTCCCTGCAGATCCACCAGCTACTCTCTTCCCACCCCACCATAAATCCTTCATTTGGTTTGGATCACCTCCTCGGGGAGGCCCTCCGTAATCACCCCTTCTAAAACATCGGTGCCCTGCTCTTTTTCACTGCACTTATGTCCACCTGACATTGGATTATATGTGCCTGGATGATGTCTCCCTCACTCAAATGTCATCCCAGGGGCAGGCTCTCTATCTCTTCCCACTAGAGGCTGAAGGGACAAAAGTTTCACACGGAGGAGGCTTCCACCTGGGGGTATGACTGAGATCTTCCTAGGAGACAGTGTCCTTAGGCAGGTGGAGACTCTACTGGGGCAGGGCTCAGGATCCTCCTGGGATGGAACTTTCACCAGGCCCAAGAGTCACCATTACAGGACTGCCTGGGCTGCAGCTCCTCGTGGGACAAAATACCCATAAAGGGTAGAATTTCTACCAGAAAATGGGGCTGAGGATCTCCTTGGGAAAAAAATTCCCATGGGGGGAATAGAGCCTCCACCAGTGGGTGAGGCTGTGGGCCCTCGTGGGACCTAGATTGCATAAGGTGGGGCAGAGTCCCCTGGGGGTGGCCCGTGCTCTCCAGCTCTCACCGTAAGAGTGGTCCAGCAGGGGTTTGCTCAGGTCCGGCATGAAGCCCTCGGGAGGGTCATAGCCCTGACAGACAGCGAAGGCCTCTGCCAGAGGAATACAGAGTGAGGTGTGACTTCCGCTTCCTTCTCGTGCAGGCAGCATCCCGGAGATGCCCCCCTGCCTGCCTGGCCCCTCCACCCTACTGACCGATGCTGGAGTTCCGGCTGCTCCTGGGCTTGGCGCACAGCACGCTGGAGAAGAAGACCCGCAGCTGGCTATAGAGGAGCGTCACATCCCGGCCTCGGAATATCTGCAGGGTGGGAAGGCAAAGACAGCGGGTGAGGGTGGCCCTCAGCAACCTCTCTCTACTCCACCAGCTTCCTTGAGACTTACCTTGGCCACAAAGCAGCCCCCTGGCTTCAGGACATGTGTAGCAATGTTCAAAGCCTGTGGGCAGGACAGACAACTGAGGCTGAGGTGGAGACAGCCAGGAGAGGGCCAGTGGGTCAGGGGTGGCCAGGGTTACTCACAGCTAGGAGGAGCTGCGCCTGCATATACTCGTCAACATCATGGAGACCGGTTACTGTGGCAAGAGGAACAGTGTTAGGGGGGCCCATCTGGCTCTGTGCAGCTTCTTGTACCACACAGATCAGAAACTAAAAACATTTTCCAGGCTCTCTTACTGCTAAGGTTCTGGATGCAAATTACTATCTGCCAACTGAATACATATTCTGAGCTCCTAACCTTATAACTCATTTGAATTCTAAAACAACATCACGTACAAGCATCATTAGCATTTCCACCTCTAGCCCAGACTGCTCCTCTGAACTCGATTCACAAATCATATTCCACATCTCTAACACATCTGCAACCAAATTCCTGACCTTCCTTCCCAAACCTGCGCCTCCCACCACCACCCCCCCATCTCATCTGAGCCTTCTAGTTATTCAGGTCCCAAACCTTAGTCATCTCTGATGCTCCTCCCCGCATCCTCTCCTCACACCCACATTCAAGCCATCAACACATCTACTTTCAAAAGATCTGACTTGACCTTCTTCTCCTTTCCACCACTGCCCCACCATTCTCACTTGCTTGGACTACTCCACCCTGGAGCCCCTGCTTCTGCCCTTGGCCCTCACACAGCTCACAGCAATCCAAGCCTAGCACGGTCCTCTTCTGCTCGCAACCCTTTCATGGTTTTCTCCAAGCTGTCATCTCGGTGAAAACGCCAACATCCTCGCCATGGCCCATGAGGCCCAAGAGGACCTGTCCCCTGTCACCTCTCTGATGTCACCTCTTACCACTCTCTCCCTCACTCTGTTCCAACCACAGTGATCTCCTTGTCTTTACTCATACATACGAAACACCCTCCTGCCTCAGGGCCTTTGCACGGGCTGGAATTTTGCCTGGATTGCTCTTCCTCCAGACATAACCATAGCTTACTTCTCCACCTCCTTTAGTCTCTGCTGTTAAGTCAGTGAGGCCTTCCCCATCCACTTCATTTAAAATTCTAACAGGTACTCTTGCCTTCCTCCTGCTCAATGATTTCCCTATAGTATCTATCTCCCACCGCCTTTTTTCAGAGACAGGGTCTCTGTTGCCTAGGCTGGAGTTGTAGTGGTGCGATCATAGCGTACTGTAACCTTGACTTCGTGGGCTCAACTGATCCTCCTGCCTCAGCCTCCCGAGTAGCTGGGACTATGGGCATGCACCACTATGCCCAGCTAATTTTTGAAGCCAGGGTCTTGCTATGTTGCCCAGGCTGGTCTCAAACTCCTAGCCTGAAGTGTTCTTCTCATCTCATCCTCCCAAAGCACTGGGATTACGGGTATAAGCCACCATACCTGGCCCTATCCCCTTTTAATGGTACAAAGCTCAGTCATTTATTTACTTTCCCATTTGCTCCCACTAGAACATCAGCTCTATGAGGTTAAAGATTAATGGAATTTTATTCATGAATGTTTTCCCGACACAACAGGTGCTCAGTAAATGTATGTTGAACGGATGGCTGGCTGAAAATGAATGAACAGTGCAAAGGAATTGGCCAGTTGCAGAGAGATGAGAGCAGGGAAAGGTAGGCAATAGACATGAAACTCAAAGGGTGGGGTGCGAGTGGGAGGAAGAGAGAGGCAGAGAGAGAGCAGGAGCAAAGGTAGGGAGAAGTTGCTGGATGTGGGAGAAAGCTGACAGCAGAAGGGAGAAGCAGGGAGTCATTGAAGAGGTGAAGTCAACCAAGGTGGGAAATCCAGAGAAGGACACACACAGGGACCCCGCCTGGCCTCCCACTTTCTGTTGCTATTTACCATCAGGAGCCCCGTCACACACCACTAGGTCCGCAGGGCAGCCCTTAAAGTGCTGGATGATCTCCTTGGCAGTGGACAGCTATGGAGAGAGGGAGGATGAGTGGTCCCATGGCCCTCCACTGCTGCCCTCAGATCCCACCTGCCCATGGTCCTGGCCCACAGACCCTGGGTTAGCCAAATTCCCAGGCTTTGCCTGTCTAAGACTGGGCTCCATCTCTGGGGACCCAGCACCATCATTTTCTGCTGTGTCTCTGCAGTGATGACCTGCTGGCTGTTTCTCCATGGTTACTCTCTTGTTCTGTTTCTCTGTTTCTCTTTGACTCTACATAGACCCCAGGTAAAGGCCTTCACCCAGGATATACCCCAGCACCCTCAGCCATGCTCTTACCTGAGTGATGTCGCCCTGGATCTGTACTACACCTGGTAGTGGAGCCATAGCCTGCAGGTCCACAGCCACCACGTGGCCGGACCCTTGGCCTCTGTGGACAACACGACCCATGTCAGCCTAGTTATACTCCCTGGCCCCTCCCACCTAGCCGGCCCTCCTGGGTCTCCCATCTGGGACCCCCACACTTACCCAATCTTCTGGCTCAGCACTTGGCTCCAGCTGCCCGGGGCTGCGCACAAGTCAACTGCCCGTGTCACGCCTGGGCACACATAGTGAAAGTATCCTGGTCAGCTGCACCCACTTCTCCAACCTGGAGATCCCTGCAAAGTTCACCCCTCTCCCCTGGGGAGCACCCACATCTCTCCACTACCCAGGTGCCCAACTCCTCTCCGGTATTCTGCCTATTTTCCTGCCTGTCTCCCTGCCCCAGAGACCCTCTGAGCCAGCCCACCTACCATAGGGAGCTCTGCAGACCCAGCCGACTTGTCTATCTCCTGTGCCCACCTCACCACCCAGTGACCTGCCCACCAGTCAGGGACCTTGAAAGAGATGGAATTCCTTGTCCAGTTGTAGCAGTTTGAAGGCGCTGCGGGCACGCCAGCCATTCTCCTTGGCCAGGCGGTAGTAGACATCCCGCTTGTCCTTCGACGTCCGTCCCATTTCATACACCAGTTGCCCAAGGACCTGTGGACAGTCAGCTGATGCCTCCCAGTATCAGTAACCAGATGACTGGGCGATCACCTACCTCTATAGGGCGGAGAGAACCACACGAACTGAACTGGGCTCATCTGACCCACATGACAGCTCACACAGAAGATGGGCTGACCGAAGCCCTGGCACTGACCCCACTGACCTTGTAGGGCCCGAAGGACCCTATCACTGAAGGCTCCATTGCTTATCACACAGACCCTCTGCCCCCATCACTTACCCCACAGTTCCCACAAAAGGTCCCATAAACCCAGCATTCATCCCATAGATGGCCCACTTGTGAACCTGTCCACCTCCCATCACTGTCACCCACACTCCACACATTAAACCCTGTAACAGTCACTGTCAACCCTTCTCTGCCCATGTCATGCCCATTAACATCTCACTGCCTGTCTCCCCAGTTGTCCCCATTGTCCCTAGATTCATATAGTCCTATTAGCCTCCCATTAATCCCTTGCTTTGCACCATTATCCTAATACAACCTCATTGTACCTCCCACTCCCTATATCTCTCTCATTCTACCCCATTCCCCATTAATCCCTTAAACGGTCCCATTATTACTACATCCTTATGAACCTCTATTAATGCCTGGAGAATCATGGCTATTAGCTCCCCATTGAGCACTCAATTACTGATTTATCAGCCCCCATTAACTTAGTTTTCTCCAATAGACCCTTCATAGATCACAGCACTAGTCTCCTGCCCTGTAACCCTTTTATTAACAAACACATTACTCCCTGATGATCATTCGTCAGTTCCCCATTTTCCCCTCACTGTCCACCCCACTCTCCATGGATCCATCACTGGATGATGACACTCCAACAGTTTACTATTCACCTACTATGTACCCACAAAAGTTAAATCCCCTCAAAACCCTAGTTTACTATCTCCCTTTGCTCATTCTGTCCCCATTAATTCCTCGATGGTCATGCCACCATAGCCCAACTACTGACTCTGACTACAACACCATCAGCCTCTCATGATCTCTTCTTTCACCACGACCCCTTGATCATGACCTCCATCTGCTGATTCCCTCCACAGCCTCACCATCATTCTTGCCATTACTATGCCCCATCACTTTCCGTTAACCTGTTGAATATCATACCTCCATCAATCCATCGGGGATCACTTTCCCATCCACCACTCATTGTATTCTAGTTGCTTACTCTGCCACTCTCTCATTAATCAATCAATGAACACTTTGACTAAAATACTCTTATTCGCCCCCATTGATTCCTCAGTAACACCCGACACTTGCGCTCCACTCAGCCTCCCATTAAACAGCCTTCTGACCACACTCCCCGTCCCTCCTTGTCAATACCTCAAAGACCACAGCTCCATCGGGACCACCAGGTCCCCCTCCAGGCAGCTCTGACCGCTGCATCCCATGTCCCCACCTTGAACCCATCCCGCCTACCGGTCCCTTTCTGCAGACAAACCTTGGGTCTAGAACCCACCAGGTGCCAGCCGCCGGACCTCCCTCCTTCCCCCACCGGTGGGACAGTGCAGGCCTGCCTCAGCAGCCTCCGCCCGCATCCCCGCCCTCCGCACCCCAGGTCCCACCTTAGTTTTTGGATCAGGGTGGTCCTCGACCAGCCTGTGCCTCCGCGAGAGCGCAAACGGGCGACAAGTCGTAGGGCTTCAGTTTGTGCTCCTAGTCCACCCGAATGTCCGGTGGGCAAGCCTATGGGCTGTGGCAGCGTGGCAAACTCGGCATCGTGGATCGCCCAGGCTCCGGCGTGCGGGACCTGATCTCAACGTACAACGTGAGTCCCGTCGTCTGGTGTCGACGTAACTGGGGCTCGCGAACTGCATTTCCCGGCATGCAACGGGCACGTCCAAAGCGGCTAAATCCACGCACTGCGTGGCTGCAGCGCCGCGACGCGCAAGCTGTCAGCGATTCTTTGTTCTTTTTATTCCGAGGACAAGATCGTTTGCTTCCCCGCCCCTCCCTTCTTGGACCTTGCTTGTCATTTAGCCTGTAAACTACATTTCCCAAGATGCCACGCGCACGATGGCGCCCATTCATTTTTCGCGTGCCGGGAAGCTAAATTACCGCTGGGGGCATAAACGTGACAGTAAGGAAAATGTGTTCTTGAAGTGACTAGCGCCCGGAGGCTGCTCTGCTGCAATTTCAGATCGCACTACAGCTAGTGGATGGCGCTGGCTGAGTTTTACCGCTTCAGAACTTCAGTTTCCCTGTCTGGAAAATGGGGATAGTCAATAGTACAGACTTCACAGCATTACTTGGAGGTTAAATAGGTGTAGCTAAGCCACTCTCTGACCCTTCGTAATTTTGTCATCTTCAAACATTTTAAATTACAACCCAGACACAAAAAAAGACTATACATCCTGACCCAGTGGACAAACGGAAATATAATGAAAACGTTTATCATGGCGTTTACCGTGTACTAGGCTCTAAATGCCCTCAGTGGTGTGCTGGTAAATGGTTAACCACTGGCTGGAGCAGGGGTGGTGGCGGCGGGAAGGGAGACTGGTTTCTAGCATTTGCCAATTTCTGTGGCTTAGGTACAATCTTCTTGTTAGATTTCAAGGTACCGACCTGTGGTCACTGAACAGGGAATTCAAAAGAGATGCAGTAGTGCACTATCATGTATTATTTTTACCATACAGATAAAATGGAGCTAAATAACCTCAAGAACATAGACAATAGTGGAATGGGGTAAAATAATTAGGAAGTGACGAATTTTGAGTAAGTTTATATCATTTCTTTTCTTTTTTTTTTTTTTTTTTTGAGATGAAGTCTCGCTCTTGTCCCCCAGGCTGAAGTGCAGTGGTGCGATCTTGGCTCACTGCAACCTCTGCCTCCCGGGTTCAAATGATTCTCCTGCCTCAGCCTCCTGAATAGCTGGAATTACAGGCGCCAGTCACTACATCTGGCTAATTTTTGTATTTTTAGTAGAGACAGGGGTTTCACCATGTTGGCCAGGGTGGTCTCGAACTCCTGACCTCAGGTGATCCACCTGCCTCAGCCTGCCAAAGGGCTGGGATTACAGGCGTGAGCCACTGCACCTGGCCACATAATTTCATTTTTAACCATAGCTGTTTAACTTTAGGAGGCTGAGGTGGAAGGATCGCTTGAGTCCAGGAGTTCAAGACCAGCCTGGGCAATATGATGAGATCCGCATCTCTACAAAAAATAAAAATAGCCGGGCATGGTGGTGTGCGTGAGTAGTTCCAGCTACTTGGGAGGCTCAGATGGGAGGATTGCATGAGCCTGGAAGGTCAAGACTGCAGTGAGCTTTGATTGTGCCACTGCACTCCAGTGTGGGTGACAGAGTGAGACCCTGTCTCAACAAACAAAACCAATTGTTAAACCAGCTGTTTAACAACCAGTTTGCAAAATTCCTGAAAATTGAATAGCTCCTCCCAACTTGTACAAGTTGGCTCCAGCATGTCCTTCCCTTTGTTCATTCATTTTAATCCTGACAACATGCATATGAGTATTAGTCAGGGACTGTGGCATGCACCTTTAGTCCCAGCTACTCCAGAGGCTGAATTGGGAGGATCCCTGGAGCCCAGGGTTCGAATCCAGCCTGGGCAACTTGGTGAGAACACATGTCTCTTTAAAAAATAAAAGGGCTGGGCGAGGTGGCTCACACTTGTAATCCCAGAACTTTGGGAGGTGAGAGGCGGGTGGATCAGTTGAGGTTAGGAGTTGGAGACCACCCTGGCCAACATAGTGAAACCCTGTCTCTACTAAAAATACAAAAATTAGCTGGGCATGGTGGTTCGCACTTCTAGTCCCAGCTACTCAGGAAGCCACGGTGGGAGGATCGCTTGAACCCGGGAGGCAGAGGTGGCAGTGAGCTGACATTGTGCTACTGCATTCCAGCTTGGGCAACAGAGTGAGACTCTGTCTCAAAAAACAAACAAGCAAACAACAAAAAAAAATCTGGATGCTGTGACTCACGCCTGTAATCCTAGCACTTTGGGAGGCCAAGGCAGTGGGATTGCTTGAGGCCAGGCATTCATGACCAGCCTGGCCAACATAGTGAGACCTCATCTCTACAAGAAATAATTTAAAAATTAGCTGGGCATGGTGCTATTTGTCTATAGTCCTAGTTATTTGAGATGCTAAGGCACAGGAATTTGAGGTTTCAATGAGCTGATCATGCCACTGCACTCCAGCCTGGGCAACAGAGTGAGACCCTGTTTCAAGAAAAAATAAAAAATAAATAAAGAACAGAATAATTGATTCCTTAGCACACGAGCTTCACCAGGCAGGGATTCCTGTTCTGTCATGTTCACTGCTGCCTCCCAGTGCTTGGAACAGGGGTGGTGCACAGTTGATGTTCAATAAATGTTGGTTGAATTCATCCTTTTGTTGCTTCGTTCCTTCATTTTTACCCCAGTGGTGCATCCTGCATTTTCATGGAGCCCTGGGTGGAGGCGTAGAGACTCTGAGAATCAGGGAAGAAGCCAGAGCTTTGTCAGCAGAACTCAAGGGCATTGTGGGGACTGTGGGAACAGGACTCCCCTGCAGAGGCGAGCAAGTGTGAGAAAGGAAGGGTTCGAGCCACCAGGCCTCCGCTCCACAAGAGAGGAGGGGGTGCCAGTCATTGGGGGCCTATGTTCACCCTGTGGGACGCTTCCCACGTCCTGTTTTCTTGCCGCTCATGAAGAGGATGTTTAACTTTTAGCAAAGGAACTTGCTTCCTCCAGCAGGGCCGGGGGTTCGGGGGACAGGAGCCAGCCTCTGAACTCTCCAGGATCTTCCCGAAGTAGGGTGTCGGCCTGCAGCTCCCACCCGGCACCCCACTGAGTGTAAAGGTGTCCTCCCCTTGGCCTCCTGGAGAGGTCAAGGAAGAGGGAGCTGCCAGGCCGGCTCTTTCCCGGAGGGGGCATCTTAGCAGTGGGAGAGAAAGAGGGGGGTGGCCCAGGGGCAGGGGACTAGGACTTTGCTGCCCAGGGGCTGCTTTGAGGAAAGGAAGCGACTGGAAAGAGTTACTCCGTGGGGAGCCTGCATGAAAGGACAGATTGGAATCCTATATGCAGCCCAGCAAATGGGACTTGGCTTTCACTGAGAAATCATTAATTCCTTCCACAAATATGTATCGAGCAGTTACTATGTGTCAAACATTGTCTTAAGTGTTTTGCCTGTGGTAATTAATTCAATCATGTCAATAGCCCAGTGAGTTAGGCGTTATTCTGCCCTTGAGGAAGCTGAGAGGCAGTGAGGTTTAGGAACTTGCTTGTTTAGCCACGCAGCTAATAAGTGGCAGGGCTGAGAAAGCTTTTGCTGTTAACTGCTTAACTGTGTCCCTCCCTCCCCTAGATGCTACCGAGCAGTGACCTGTTTTAATCAAAGGTCTCCTTAGAACTGATGAGAACCCCCAAAGTGACTTTTAACAGATTTCACAGGACTCCCAAATGTTAGACGAGGATCTGCTTTACTGAACCAACAAAAACCTTAAATGACCCTGAGAAGGAGCCCTACTTTGATGAACTAACAAAGTGTTCTTATCCCTGGCATGGCCTCAAGGTCTCAGTCCTACTTAAAGACATCTGTTCCTTCTACAACAGGTTGCCCCATGCAGCCAGATCACACTTTCCCTTTGTTTTCCCGCTGCCGGACCGGCTTATGGTGAGCGCCCACTATCTGCAGTGCCCAGAAACTTAGCGGAGCTGTGGGGTTCTTAGAGCTGCACAGAGGTTCGTCTCTCCCCTAGAAGAGTTCCTCTGGCAGAAATAAGAGTAATGGTAATAATACGATATTAGATAAGTGGACTTTATTGAGCACCTACTGTATGCCTGGTAGCCCTCCCTGTGTTGGGCCATGCTGGAAGGCCGGTGGGGGCAGGGCCTGGGAGGGAAGGAGAGCAATCAGAGCAGGAGGCTATGCCAGGGAGGTGGCGAATGGATGCAGAGGGGAGGGGGGTTGTCTATTTATTTTTTTATTTATTTTGTTGAGACGGAGTTTTGTTCTTGTTGCCCAGGCTGGAGTGCAATGGCACGATCTCGGCTCACCGCAACCTCTGCCTCCTGGGTTCAAGCAATCTCCTGCTTCAGCCTCTCGAGTAGCTGGGATTACAGGTGCCCACCACCACACCCAGCTAATTTTTGTATTTTTGGTAGAGATGGGGTTTCACCGTCTTGGCCAGGCTGGTCTCGAACTCCTGACCTCAGGTGATCCGCCCACCTCGGCCTCCCAAAAGTGTTGGGATTACAGGTGTGAGCCACTGCACCCAGCCCATCTATTGCTTTTTTTTAAATCCAAGATAAGGTATGCTAGTTCTTTGGATGAGACACTTCAGACTTGAAATATGTATACCTGTGTCCCGCCCCCCACCTTTAGCCACGTGGGCCAAGGCCTCTGGTGACAGGTGTCTCTTTCCCTGACCAGCTGGTAGCACAGATGTGTAATGGCTCTGGGTGGGGGAGGGGTATGAGGGGAGAGAGAAATCAGAGTAGATAGGAAAGGAGACAGAGGCAGGAGGAGGCTGGGCAGGGTGTGTGTGTGTGTGTGTGTGTGTGTGTGTGTGTGTGAATACGCTAAATGTATCTCACCTGCCTGTTCTCAGCCACAACCACGCGTATGTGAGCTGCACCTGTGTTTTCCTATGTAACTTGCCTGATTGGTACCGTCTGCCTGAGCAGTTCATCTCTTTGGGGTTGTGTGTGTGTGTTGCTTGGGTATTTGTCTCCTTTGTAATGGTTGTGGGTGATGAGTGTGTCAGAGTACTTGTCCCTCCTATGTGTATATCTATGTGCACGTGTCTTTCTTTGTATGTCTGTTGCTGTATTTCTGTCTCTCCTTAGCAAGCGGCTGCAGGTATGTGTGCCCTCGGGGCGTTTCTTCTGGTGCTATGGTATGAGTACTATCTGCTTCTCCTGTTTCTTCCTTGTGCAGCTTTCGGTGTGGTTTCTGGATTTCTTCTTTGCAACGATAGTAAGCGTATTCTGCATTCCTGTACTCCGTGTTTGTGTGCTGGTATATGCTTTCCCTGTATGTTTCTTTTCTGACTTGATTTGTGACTAGCTGTGTGTGTACACGGCTGTGTGCAGCCATTTGCTGGAATGCAGTTGTGTGTGTGTGTGTGTGTGTGCTCGCACGAGAGAGAGAGAGACAGAGAGAGAGAGAGAGAGAGAGACACTGTGGCTTTTTCTTTTTTATTATTTTTTGGCTCCCCCACAATGTAGACTGTGGCTTTTCTGTTTGTACAATCATGTCAGCCTGTGAGCGCCTCTCTGTGTGACTGGAGCTGTATGCGGTTACATGTGGTCACAAGTGCACATGCAAGTTCACATACACAGAGAAATCATTCTAGGGTTTGAACCTGGAAGTTTGCCTCTGGGGCCATCTGAACCTGGATTGTGCGTGTGGGAAAGACCCAGGACCCATGAGCGATGTCATCAGCTGGGTGTAATCGTCTGTGTGCGGCTGTGAGTCTGTGTGTGGCTGTGAGTGTGTGTGTGTGATTTGCCTGTTGGTTGTCTTTGGCATGGCTGTGGGTCCACGGGTGATGATGATCAGGAATCTAGAGTGGAAACCTGCATGAGCCTATCCCTGTGTTAGCTGTGCTCTGTGTGAGCGGCTCTGAGCCTGTGGGTGTTGTTAGCTGTAAGATTATCTATTGTCACTCTGTGTGGCCACGTGTGGGACTGTCCCATGAGCCTGTGCTCTTCACGTGCAGTGGTGAGTTTGTGTGTGTTCATGTCTGTCAGTCTTTATTCTCTGTGTGGGGCTGTGAGTCTTTGCTCACCTCTGTGAGTGATGGTGAGTCGGCCCCCATATCTGAGCCCCTCGATGAGACTGTGATTGGGACTGTTGTGTCGCTGCAATCCCTGAGTGTGCAGGAGTCTCTCTCCCGCTGTGGGGAAGTAAACGCCCCATCCCTTGTCCTCCTCCAACTGCGGGTGGGGTGAGGGCATCTAGGCCAGCTTTGAAGCCTCAGCCAGCTCCTGGCCTTTCCGGGAATTCTGTGTTCACTGTGGGGGGTGGGCAGGCGGGCAAGGGGCCCAGACAGAGGCCTCTTGTCCACCTGGGCTTCAAGCAGCCCAGTCGAGGTGGGCCCAGACCCCAAGTCCATCCTGCCTGACATCCTGTAGTGGACACGTGCGTTGTCTTGGACAGGCATGCCTGGAAGGGAGTGAACAGACAGACTCCCATAGAAGACAGATGGACAGATAGATAGTGGGACTTCTCAGGGCTTGGATAAGCCCCACCCCATGCTTGGGGTGGGGTCCAGGACTACAGTGCCCGCCCAGTTTGCAGACAGTGTGAGTTCACAGTCCACATTCCCCACCCAGCCACAAATGCCCTCCCTGCCTCCCTCTGGGGGCCCCCAAGATCTAGGGTCCTCTCGTGACTAGGCTGTCTGCCTGAGGTCTGCCTGGAAGAGCCTGGCTGCTACACCTGCACCTGTCCCCTGCTGTCTCCAGGCCTCTCTGCCTGAATCTGCCTCTGTCTGCCTCTTCTCTTCTGTCCCCTCCAGGTATCTCTCTGCCTCAATCACTCTCTCTGTCCCTTCATCTGTCTCTGAGGTGGTGTGTCTGGCCCTACCCTCTGTTTGGGGATCTGTCTGGCTCTGTCCCCCACCTCTCTGCCAGCCCGTGTCTCCTGTCTCTGACTGAGCCTCACTGCCTGTTGCCTTTCTGCAGGTGTTTGCACGAGCCTGTCCCTACCTACCTGCCTGTTTCCGAGTCTGCCTGTGGGTCCCTTTCTCCCTGCGGCTGCCCTCGCCTGTCTACCAAGCTCCCCCTGCATCCCCTCCTCCACCCATCTGTCTTGCTGTTCCTTCTGTGGTCTGTCTGTTCCTGTGTTGTTTCTCGTGCCTGCTTATCTCTCTTTGTAACTTTGTTTCTCCTGCTCTGACTCCTCCTCTCTGCACCTCTTCCTGCCACCCATCCCATTCTGCCCTCTGTCTGCTCTGTGAGTCCATCCCTTCTGTCTGCCTGTCACTCTCTCTAGCCGTGGGTCTACGCCTTCAATCTTTCAGGCCATTTTCCCCGCCACCACGACACAAACAAACCTCTGTTTCCCTCCAAGTGGGTCCAGATAGGGGGCTCCCCTTCTCCACCTCTTCCCCCGCCCAGGGCCAGAAGGAGGGAAGCGAAATTAAAATTAACATTTCTTCTCAGAAAAAAAAAAAAGTACCGCGCCAGAGCAGGAACTGAGTCAGCCGAGAGGGTCCCCGAACCCAAGTCTGAGTTGCCGCCACTTCAGGAGCTGAGAGGAGCAGGTGGGTGAGGAGGGAGCGTGGGCTGCTGCGGGGATGGTGTTCCTGGGGGCCCTGAGATCTGAGTAGGGGTCCTGGGAGGGGACTTGGGGTTCCTTGGAGAAATTTTAGCACTTGTGGAGAATGGCATGGCGTGTGTGCGTGGCGGTGTGTGGGGGTCCTTTTGATACCTTGATCCCAGGAAGTGAATTCAGGTGTGGATGGGAGACCCCAGAGGGTGCTGGTGGCAGGGGATGGGACTCCTTGAGATCCTTCCCTTTCCCAGGAATGGGATTCAGAACTTGGGGAAGGATTTCCTGAGCCACTTTGAGCTCTAATGTGGACCTTGAATGGGGGTTTCTGAGATACCTCCTTCCCAGGGAATAAGCGTGGGGCTGGGGTTTCTCCAGAGATGCTCTACTCATAAGACAGGGCTCCAGGCTCTGGTGGGGATCGCAGAGTCTCCCCCACCCCAGGAAACTCGTTAGGCCACGGGAGGGGGACTTTGATGAAGGTCTCAGAGACAGCTCTTCCTCCGGAGGGGAAATGCAGGCTTGGGCCAGGTTCCTGAGACACCCCACGCCCAGGTAGTTTCTCAAGTCTGGAAGCGTCTCCAAATTGACTGCTGTCAGAAGATGGGTGTTTAAGACTTGCTAGGGGCCTTGGAAAATACCTCTAGCCCCTAGAAGGGGGTTAAATGGGAGTCCCTGGGTCATTTCTATCCTGGGAAGGGGCTCAGTTTGGGGACTTGTCTTTGGTTTCTAGTGAGGATATTCAGAGTTGTGGCAGAGAGCAGTTTGCAGCGTCTGGGGCAGGGGTCTCTGAGTCTGCCCCCCACCCTCAGCCCACTCAACAGGTTGCATCAGCTCTGGGCTCGGGCTTGGGGACCCAGGCAGGAAGGAGGGGGGCGAGGGCATTAGGAGGGGTGGGGCAGCCGGCCGACACGTGTCCCTGCAAGGAGTGAGCCGCCTGGCCACGTGGTGAGGGTGGAGGGAAGTGCGGGGAGGGCGCGGGGGACCAGGGAATGAAAGATACAGACAGCAAGAGAGACAGCGTGTGTGAGTCTGGGGTCTGGGAGGAGAGGCTATCCTTTCTCCACATGGTCGGTTCATCTGCCCTGGGGTCCGGCTCTCTCTGGAGCTTTCTGTCTGTCTCGCCCCCACTATTTCTCTCTCGCTGGCTTCTTTTCTCTGTGTCTCTCTGAGTAACTGTTGGCTTCTCTCCTTCTCTGATTCTTCATTCTCGCTCATCTCTTTCTCTGTTGGCCTGCTTCCATTTCTGTCCCTGTCTGTTCCTGCTCCCCTGCCCCATCCTTTTCTCCCTCTTTCTATCTGTCAGTCTCTATGGGGCTCCCCTCCCCCCTTCTTCAGCTCTCCTCACTTTGCAGCACCCCAATAGGATGGAACTGCAGGATCCAAAGATGAATGGAGCCCTCCCTTCAGATGCTGTGGGGTGAGTCAGGGGTCCAAGGAGGTGGGCTCAGGGGTCAGGGGTCAGGGTTACCCTTTTATCAGCTTCCATTTCCCTGCCCTATCCAGCTACAGGCAGGAACGTGAAGGCTTCCTGGCCAGTCGTGGTCCTGCTCCTGGGAGCAAGCCAGTCCAGTTCATGGATGTGAGTGGCCCCACAGGATCTGGCCCGGTGGCACCTTCCCCAGCTAATCTCCTCCCTGCTCTGCTCCCTCTTCCCCACTCCTCCTCCCTGCTGTTCCCCTGCCCAGCTATCTCCCCACCGCAGCTACGCACTCGTCGGTCCTCCCCTCTCCAAATACTCCTTTTCCCCAGATATGCCCTTTCTAGCTCTCTCCCTGGCCTTGCTTCTCTGCCCACGCTGTTCCGCCCAGTGGCTGCCCTTCCCAGCTGCTCCCCTCCCCCTATTCTTCCTCCTCCAGCACTCCCCATCCTCAGCCCATCCCCACCCCCAGCGTCTCCCCTCCCCAGCTGTTTTGCCTCTGGTGGCTGCTTCACCCTCCCCTGGTCCTCTCTGTCCACTTCCAGCGGCTCCCTCCAAAGTTTGTCCTAGTTTTCCCCTTCCCAGCTCTTCTCTTCGCATCCTCTTCCATCTTCAACTCTTCTTCCCTGCTAGCCTCTTCCCTCCTCAGATGGTCTCTCCTTGACTTCTCTCCACCCCGGCTTCTCTCCACCCCGCTTGCTTCTTCTCCAGTCTTTCCCTGGCCCTGGCATCATTGGTCTCCTACCCGGTGCCCCCTCCCAATGTGTGCCCGGGCTTTGCTCCTTGCGTGCAGTTCGAGGGGAAGACATCATTTGGAATGTCAGTGTTCAACCTCAGCAACGCCATCATGGGCAGCGGCATCCTGGGGCTGGCCTATGCCATGGCCCACACAGGGGTCATCTTCTTCCTGTGAGTCCACAGGTGGCCTGCGGGGCCAGTGGTGTTGCGGGGTGGGTGGGAGGCCTGCGGCCAGGTCTGAGCTGTGCCACCTGCCGCAGGGCCCTGCTGCTGTGCATTGCTCTTCTGTCGTCCTACTCCATCCACCTCCTGCTGACCTGCGCTGGTATTGTAGGTGAGACTCAGAGCCTGCATCTCAGTCCCCACAAAGCCCCTTTGGACCCCAGACTCTGGACCCACATCCAGAGCTCAACCCAGACCTTGGGCCCCAGACCCCAAACCCAATTCCTTGACTGCAGAACCCAGATCCTGGACCCAGCACCCCAGAATCCACCCCCAGATGACTACACTCCACCTCTAACCCCACTCCTCAGTCACCAGACCCCCTGTAACCTGGAAGCCAGCCCCACAACCTTGAGGTCCCCCAAATCTCAGCCCCCGGTTCCCCAGCTCCCACCATGGTCCCAGTCCATAGTCTGGCTCAGAGACCCCTTAATCTCACCTCCGGCCTTCATCCATTTCCCTGGCCTCAGATCCCACCTCCCAGAGTCTGCCCCCAAACTCAACCCCAACTGCTTACCCCCCACCTCCAGCCTCCATCAGTCAAACCTGGTTCCCCTAAGCCCTAGCTCCCCAGCTCCCAGGCCCTCTGGACTGCACCCCTGGCCTGGCCTCCTGGACCTACAACCTGTTCCTGCCTTCCCCTGCTAGGCATCCGAGCCTATGAGCAGCTGGGACAGAGGGCATTCGGGCCTGCGGGGAAGGTAGTGGTGGCCGCGGTCATCTGCCTGCACAATGTTGGGGGTGAGGACTATGGGAGGTGGGGGTCCGCTTGTGGGAAGGGGGTGGAGTGAGGTGGGCTTCCCTAGGCTGGGCTGGGGAAGATGGGGTGGGGGCATGACGAGAATCACTTCTACTTATACCTCCCCCACCCGCACCAGCCATGTCCAGTTACCTGTTCATCATCAAATCTGAGCTCCCCCTGGTTATCAGCGCCTTCCTGTACATGGACCCCGCGGAGTGAGTGAGCAACACCCCTTGGCTGGCCTGCAGCCCCTTGACTCTGCCTGCAAGGCCCGGCCGGTATTTTCAGTGCTGTGTGTGCAGCTGGCTCCCAGATGTTCCAGTTTGAGATGGCTGGGCAGGCCACTTGGGTCAGACTGATTCCTCTGCATGACTGTTGCTCAGACCACAGGAGTCTAGTTGACCGTGTGCTGATTTTGTGACTTATTCTGGCTGCTTCTGGCTGGAGGCTGACTCTTTACGTCCAGTTTACTCTGCTGCTGACCACGTGTGTGTGAATGTACATAGCTGGTGGACTCAGACTCTGCCTGTGGGTTTGACTCCGTGTCTGCCGTCCTGGCTGATTCTCTTGGGCTGGCTCTGTAATTGATTACAGCTGTGTCCCGTATACTGTGATTCCAACCATATGTGTCTGACACTCGGTCACTCTGACTTCCCCGTCCAGCTGATTGTTTGAGCTTGATCCTAGGTTCATTTGGCTGAATCTGTCTAGCTACAAGTGTACGATTGCTGACTCCAACATATGCTGTGGTATCAACTATATGTGACTCACTCTGACTGTATGTGTCCAGCCAACTCCATCTCTGATTTGGTGGCTGTTCTGGTAAATTCTCTTTGCTCTGTGAGAGTGTGTGTGTGTGTGTGTGTGTGTGTGTGTGTGTGTGTGTGTGATTCCTGACTGCCGATGTGTCCTCTGTATTATGGTTGCAACCATGTATGCTGGGCTGTTCTGATTATGTATCCGGCTGACTGTGTGTGAGTCTGGATCCACTGCGCTGGCTCAGTCTGTGTGGGGGTGTGTGCATGATGGGACTCCAGCAGGGCTAGTGTGTATGCACAGTGTGCTGCAGTGCTTGTGCTCCAGCTGCACATGTGTAACTCTCTGTGTGTGTTTTAGGCACAGCTCTGTGTGTCCAGTGGCTAACCTTGCCTCTGGTCCCATGGACTTTACATAGTGCGTAGTTGTGTCTCTGGTTTTGTCAGTCTGACTCTGGGTTAGTTGGTCTCTGTGTCAGTCTGACAGGTTCTTTTTTTCTTTTTTGAGTCTCGCTCTGTGGCCCAGGCTGGAGTGCAGTGGCATGATCTTGGCTCACTATCACTTCTGCCTCCCGGGTTCAAGTGATTCTCCTGCCTCAGCCTCGTGAGTAGCTGGGATTATAGGTGTGTACCACTATGCCCAGCTGATTATTTTATTTTATTTTTTTGAGACAGAGTCTTACTCTGTTGCCCAGGCTGGAGTGAAGCGGTGCCATCTTGGCTCACTGCAACCTCCACCTTCCAGGTTCAAGCGACCCTTCCACCTTGGCCTCCCAAGTAGCTGGGAGTACAGGTGCCTGCCACCACGCCTGGCTAATTTTTGTATTTTTAGTAGAGACGGGGTTTCGCCATGTTGGCCAGGCTCATCTTGAACTCCTGACCTCAGGTGATCAGCCCACCTCAGCCTCCCGAGTTGCTGGGATTACAGGCATGAGCCGCTGCACCCGGCCAGTCTGACAATTTTAACTGAGTGCTTGACTTTTACTGTCTGTGTGTATCCTTTAAGATCTTTGGCTTGATTCTGAGAACACTAGGTAGCTGACAGTGTGACCAGACATGTGTCATTATTATAGTTAGCTCCCATTGGTTTATTTCTGTGTAACTGTGTATGAGATAGAAAGAGACTGTGTGAATGCCTAGAACGCAGGCATTCGATCAAGTTCTTTTGAATGTGTGAGCAGTTGTTCAGCTGATTCTGTCTTAACTGACTCTTGCCTGGTCACCTTCCTCCAACATCTGTACAGATTCCACCCTTTCTCAGAGCTTGGTTCTAACAGTTTGGCCAGCTGGTTGATTTCATTTCTATTTCATTCTTTCTTTAGCTGTATGGCCAAATCAGTCCACAGGCATACTTTCAGGCATCCAACAAATCTTGAGCTGTTCAAACAAGCATGCGTTTCTGACTTTTTCATTGACTCTGCATCGTGGCTTGTCTACTGGATCATCAGACTGTTGCTCTACCTGTCAAACATACCACGATCATGACTCACTTTCTTTGTGTCTGGCACGTTGTATTGGACTGATTTTCCTTTCTTGTCTCTTCTTTCCTTTTTTTGAGATGGAGTCTTGCTCTGTAGCCCAGGCTGCAGTGCAGTGGCTCGATCTCGGCCCACTACAACCTCCGCCTCCCGGGACCTGGTTCAAGCAATTCTCTTGCCTCAGCCTCCTGAGTAGCTGGGATTACAGGCATGCACCACCATGCCCAGCTAATTTTTGTATTTTTAGTAGACACGGGTTTTGTCATGTTGGCCAGACTGGTCTTGAACTCTTGACCTGGTGATCCTCCTGCCTTAGCCTCCCAAAGTGCTGGGATGACAGGCCTGAGCCACTGCGCCTGGCCATGACTTTCTTTTTCTTTCTTTCTTTTCTTTTGAGACAGCATCTCGATCTGTCTCCCAGGCTTCAGTGCAATGGCACGATGTTGGCTCACTGCAACCTCCGCCTCCTGGGTTCAAGTGATTCTCCTACCTCAGCCTCTTGAGTAGCTGGAATTGCAGGCGCGTGCTACCACACCAGGCTGATTTTTTATATTTTTGTAGAAATGGGGTTTTACCATGTTGGCGAGGCTTGTATTGAACTCCTGACCTCAGGTGATCCACCTGCCTCAGCCTCCCAAAGTGCTGGGATTACAGGCGTGAGCCACTGCACCTGGCCTGGACTGAATTTCACATTGAATCTGACCAATTTGGGTTGTTTGACCCTCTGGTTGTACATCCACTCGTGAAGTCTGATGGCAAGTTTTGTCCAGATGAGTATGTGTTTTTAGCTGTGTCCCACCGATGGTATCTGACAATCTCATAGTCAGCCTGTTTTCGTCAACCCTATTGTGCCATTTGTCACTGTAACCACCTGAATGACTTCTCACAGCTGAGGTTGTCAGCTTAACTCTCCTGACTTAAGGCAGAAAGCTGTCTGACCGGCTGTCTTCTGTGAGTGTCTGCCTGACAGTTTCCTTTGGCTGGCAGCTAGGCACTGTGTCTTCCTGTCTTTCTAGGGACTGGTTCTTGGAGGGGAGCCACCTCATCATCATTGTCAGTGTGTTAATCATCCTGCCCCTGGCCCTCATGAAACACTTGGGTAAGAGGCTCCGTGGGTTGGGCATTGGATAGAGGGATTAGACAGAAGGAGCCAGACTGAGAAAACCCCCATTCATTGTCAAGGGCTGCAGAACACCAGGAGAGAGCTTATTTGATGTGGGCTTTAACAGATTAGTAGGAGTTTGCTATGGTTTGCTATGGAGGGGAGGCTTTTGTGGGTGGAAGTAGAAGCCTATGCAAAGGTAATTACGGTAGGCAGACCTTGAAGGCCAGACTAGGTGTTTGGAGTTCACTGTGGTGGGGGGGCGGATCCATTGATTTTTTTTTTTTTTTTTTTTTGAGACAAAGTCTCGCTCTGTCACCAGGCTGGAGTGCAGTGGTGTTATCTTGGCTCACTGCAACCTCTGCCTCCCGGGTTCAAGTGATTTTCCTGCCTCAGTCCCCCTAGTAGCTGGGACTACAGGCATGTGCCACCACACCCAGCTAATTTTTGTATTTTTAGTAGAGACGGGGTTTCGCCATGTTGGCCAGGCTGGTCTTGAACTCCTGACCTCAGGTGATCCACCTGCGTCAGCCTCCCAAAGTGCTGGGATTACAGGCATGAGCCACTGCGCTGGGTCGATTTCTGAGACTCTGTTTTGCCCCTCTTAGGCTACTTGGGGTACACCAGTGGTCTGTCCCTGACCTGCATGCTGTTTTTCCTTGTTTCGGTGAGTCACAGAGAAGCGGGGAGAGAGTTTGGGACATTGGAACGTAGCCTCCCCCATGACCTGGCTTCTCTGCTGCCCCCATCCTTAGGTCATCTACAAGAAGTTCGAGTTTGGCTGTGCTGTAGGCCGCAACGAAACAGCAATGGAGAGTGAAGCTCCTGTGGGACTCCCCAACCAAGGGCTCAACAGCAGCTGTGAGGCCCAGATGTTCACAGTTGACTCACAGGTATGTGTGCAGGCGTGTAGGAGGTTGCAGCACACTCAGGCCCTCTGGTTCTGTCACACAGAACATCCTGCTCAGAGTGGAGCTGGATATTGGACATTGGGAGCTTCTGTGTGTCTGTTATGGAGGGCGATGACGGGGTAGGGGGGATGGGGAGAAGGGGATGGACCACTGTGGGCTCTAATCCCAGGTATTCTGGCATTCCCTAGATGTCCTACACAGTGCCCATTATGGCTTTTGCCTTCGTCTGCCACCCTGAGGTGCTGCCCATCTATACGGAGCTCTGCCAGTGAGTGGGCGGGCAAGTGGGCCTGCATGTTGGGGAGCAGGTGCAGCGGTAACCAGAATGTCTGACACTCCCTCCAGTAGTCCTGGGGCTGTAGCTTGGCAGAAGCTAGGTTGTGCCATGGGAAGAGTTTGGGGGACTTGAGTCTTGGGGAACTCAGGGTAGTGACTGTTTGCTGATCAGGGCTTAAGTAAAAATGCGGATGGGCAGAGTTGGGAAGCAGAGATCAGATGATCAGATGGAGGGAGTGATATGCATGGCTGGTGGTATGGGGATGGGGAGGTACGGACAGACAGAGGGGGAGGCAGGGATGCTATGATGGGGTTTGTGTGGATGATCAGACAGAGGGACAGCATGGATGGTCAGATGGAAGAGGCAGTGGCAGGCTGGGCGCAGTGGCTCACGCCTGTAATCCCAGCACTGTGGGAGGCCGAGGCAGGCGGATCACCTGAGGTCAGGAGTTTGAGACCAGCCTGACCAACATGGAGAAACCCTGTCTCTACTAAAAATACAAAAAATTAGCCGGGCGTGGTGGTGCATGCCTGTAATCCCAGCTACTCGGGAGGCTGAGGCAGGAGCATAGCTTCAACCTGGGAGTTGAATGTTGCGGTGAGCTGAGATTGCGCCATTGTACTCCAGCCTGGGCAACAAGAGAGAGACTTTGTCTCAAAAATAAAAAAAAGGAAGAGGCAGTAGCAGTCAAATGCAGAGCAGAGATGGTCATATGGGGAGAGATATGGATGGTCAGAGAGGGGGGTTTTGGCTAGTCACAGGGTAGACAGAGTTGGGTGTGTACCAGCTGAATGTCAGTCTGGGAGAAGGGGATTCTGGAGGGTGGAAGCTGGCTTTGAGAGACCTCGGCCAAGTCCCAGAGTCTGGGCATGACAGTTGCACAACCTCTACACTTCAGGCCCTCCCAGCGCAGGATGCAGGCCGTGGCCAATGTGTCTATTGGGTCCATGTTCTGTATGTATGGGCTCACAGCGACCTTTGGATACCTCACCTTCTACAGTGAGTGGGGCTGGGGGGAGGGCTGGGGGGAGGGGGAAGGCCTAGGGCAGGAGCCTCTGAGCCCTTTCCTTCCGTGACATGGACCTGTCAGTTTCCAAAGGGAAGGTGTGCCTCACTTGTGTGGATTTTGTCACTGTGCATGTATGTATGGGTTTCTGGGGCATTGGTCCTGGTACTCTTGCCAAATCTTGCATCCCACATCCCCTGTCCCATGGCCCAGGTAGCGTGGAGGCAGAGATGCTGCACATGTACAGCCGGAAGGACCCACTCATCCTCTGCGTGCGTCTGGCCGTGCTGCTCGCTGTGACCCTCACTGTGCCAGTTGTGCTGTTCCCTGTGCGTGGGGCCCATGGGGCAGAGGGACATGGATGGATGGGTAGAGGGCATAGGATGCGTGGGTGGAGACTGGAGACAGGAGTGGATGGATGGATAGATGAATGAGGCAAGGATGGACAGACAGGAAAGGGCAGCGTTGTCAGATGGACAGAGACAGCAAAAATTGATGGTCAGACAGAAGCAGGAGGACATAGCAGGAAAAAGAGGGTCAGGGTACAGCGTACTCAGTTGGAGGGAGGAGGCACAGATGGATGGCTAGACAGAAGAGGGAGGCAGGAAGGGTCAGTTGGGGGGTAGAATGAAGAAACAGGAATGGAGAGAAAGGGTGGAGGCTGAAGTGGTGGGATGTAGGAGGGACAAGGCTCTGAAATGGGGAGGTGGAACTAATTAGACAGAGGAGGGAAGTAGAGGTCAGATGGAGAGAGGCAGGGAGCTCAGACAGGGTAGAAGGACGGGTAGATGGTCAGACAGAAGAGGAGACGAAGATGGTCAGCTAGAGGAGGAGGCGGGGATTTCAGACAGTGGGTGGAAGTGCCGATTGGTGTTCAGACAGAAGGAAGAGACGTGGATTGTCAGAGGATGGAGGGAGGAAGCCCGTTCAGAAGTTGGAGACACAGATGCTGGGTTAGGCAGGGTGGAGCCATAGACAGTCAGAGGGAGGGGAAATCAGGGATCGAAGACGAGGTGGAGCTAAAGACAGATGATCACTTGGAAGGGAGCAGCACTTGGGTCCTGACTTCTGTCCCATCCTACTCTGGCCACAGATCCGCCGGGCCCTGCAGCAGCTGCTTTTCCCAGGCAAGGCCTTCAGCTGGCTGCGACATGTGGCCATAGCTCTGATCCTGCTTGTTTTGGTCAATGTCCTTGTCATCTATGTGCCGACCATCCGGGATATCTTTGGAGTTATCGGTCAGTATCCCTCACCCCAGAACTATACTCCATCTAATATGGGCTTTGTACCCAAGTCAGGTTGACTCCTGTTCCTTCTCCTTGTCCTCCAGGGTCCACCTCAGCCCCCAGCCTCATCTTCATCCTCCCCAGCATCTTCTACCTCCGCATTGTACCCTCTGAAGTGGAGCCTTTCTTATCCTGGCCCAAGATCCGGGTAAGCATTCCAGGGCAGAGCTAGGGAGAGAGGGAGCACTCCAAGATGGCTGGAGGTGAAAGGGACATGGAGAGGAGGGGCTGGGAGAGCATCTGAAAAAATGGTCTGGAAGAATGAAGGTGATTGTCTTAGGAAGGGGCAGAGGAGACAGCACCAGCAGGGTCTGGGAAGACAGGGAGCGCTCAAACGGGCTGGCATAGAGGGAGGATTCTCCAGACAGATGGAAGGAGCACTATTGGGAAGAGAGCTTGGAGCACTTTCAAGAAGAAGGATGGAGGAATGTACTCTCTCATGGGTTCTGGGAAGATGGAAGGAGGACTCACAGGAAGGGGCTAGTTGTAAGGAAGGAGAGGGCACACAGAGGAGGGTCAGGAATGGATAGAGCACTCTCTGAAGGAGGTGGAAGACTTGAGAACATTCTCAGAAGGCATTTGGGTGAGGTGTCCCAACTGGCCCCATCTTGTCTCTCTGGCCCACAGGCCCTGTGCTTTGGAGTCCTGGGAGTCCTCTTCATGGCCGTCAGTCTAGGCTTTATGTTTGCCAACTGGGCCACAGGCCAGAGCCGCATGTCTGGACACTGACCAGGCCCTGCTGGCCCGGGTCCTCGTGCGCATGCACATGGAGGGGTCGGGGCCGCTCCCTAGGGTCCCTCCGTGGAGGTGGCTGGTTCCCATGAATGTGGTTGTCAGAGGCAGGGGACAGCAGAGGCTGCAGACTGGCCCACTTCCCTCCTCCCCAGGGATGCCAAGCTTCGATCATGGCCCTAATCCCAACCCCAACCCCACAAGAGGAGGAGGAGGAAGAAGAAGAGGAGGATGCCAGGTCCTGGCAGAGCCTTTGCCTAGCCCAGTCCTCTCTGCCTCCTCCTGGCTGAAGCCATTTGTCAGGATTACCCTTGGGCCAAAGCGGAAAAATAAAGATGTTGAGATACAACTCTGGACTCAGCCTTCTGATCTTTCTCTTGAGACTTGGTGGTGGAGCCTGCTGGAGTCCAGGCTGGAGCACACTGAAACCCTGCGAGTCGGACAGTGTCTGCTCATGCGCTCACTCTCTTCACTTTTCCAGTAACCTGCCACTCAACTTCACATATCACTCACTTGGCCAGGAGCAGTAACACACGCCTATAATCCCAGCACTTTGGGAAGTCAAGGCAGGCAGATCACCTGAAGTCACGAGTTTGAGACCAACCTGTCCATGGCAAAACCTCGTCTCTACTAAAAAATACTAAAATTAGCTGGGCGAGATGGTGTGTGCCTATAGTCCCAGATACTTGGGAGGCTGAGGCAGGAGAATTGCTTGAACCCGGGAGGCGGAGGTTGCAGTGAGCCAAGATCATGCCACTGCACTCCAGCCTGGGCAACACAGTGAGACTCCATCTCACACATACAAAAAAACTTCAGTCATTCACTCAGTAAACATCTACTGAAAGCCTACTGGGTACCAGGCACTGTTCTAGGTGCTGGGGATATAGCAGTGAACGAAGCAGACAGTAGTGTCCTGGAGTTGTTCTGGCACAAGATTGTGCAAATCCAGTCTGCTGCCTATTTAAGTATGGCCCTTGAACTAAGACTGGCTTTCATATTTCCGAATGATTGAAAAAAGGTGGACCTAGCATGGTGGCTCATGCATGTAATCACCAGCACTTTGGAAGGCTGACGCAGGAGGATCATTTGAGACCAGACTGGGCAACACGTCAAGTCCCCATCTTTACAAAAAATATTAAATAGCTGGGTTTGGTAGTGTATGCCTATAGTTCCAGCTACTTGGGAGGCTGAGGTGGGAGGATTGCTTGAGCCCAGGAGACTGAGGCTGCAGTGAGCCGTGATCACGCCACTGGACTCTAGCCTTAGTGACAGAGTGAGATCCTGTCTCAAAAAGAAAAGGGGCTGGGCGCCGTGGCTCACGCCTGTAATCCCAGCACTTTGGGAGGCTGAGGCAGGTAGATCACCTGACATCAGGAGTTCTAGACCAGCCTGGCTAACATGCTGAAACCCCATTTCTACTAAAAATACAAAAATCAGCCAGGTATGGTGACATATGCCTGTAATTTCAGCTACTCAGGAGGCTGAGGCAGGAGAATTGCTTGAACCCAGGAGGTAGAGGTTGCAGCGAGCCAAGATCATACCCCTGCCCTTCAGCCTCTGTCTCAAAAATAAAAAAAAGAAAAGGAAAGGAAAAAAATTATTAAAAGAAATAATATTCTGTGACACTTGGAAATTATATGAAATTCAACTTTCAGTGTCTAAATCATTTACATATCAATTTCAGTGCCTGTAAATTATTTACATATCATTTACAGTGTCTTCTTCATTTACATGTTGTTTATGGCTTTCTTGTGCAGAGCTGAGGAGTTGCAACAGAGACCATATGGCCTGCAAAGCCTGAGCTATTGACTCTCTGGCCCTTTTCCAAAAAGTTAGCTGACCTCTGACCTGTAATTCCAGCTACGTGGGAGGCTCAAACAGGAGAATCACTTGAACCTGGGAGACGGAGGTTGCAGTGAGCCAAGATCGCGCGGCTGCACTCCAGCCTGGGAGACAGAGACTGTCTTGGGGTTCAAAAAAGGTACAGAACATTTCCATCACCACAATGCTATCCCTTGTGCTACTCAGTTTTAATAATACTCTCCTCCCATCCAATATCCCTAACCCCTGGCAACCACTAATCTGCTTTTCATTTCTACAATTTTGTTTTTTCTAGAATGCTATACAAATGAAATATTATAGTATGTAACATTTTAGAGACTTATTTCACTCAGCGTAATTCCCTGGAGATTCATCCAAGATGTTAATATTTGTGTACCAATAGTTCATTTTTATTACTGAGTAGTATTCCATGGTATGGATGTACCACAGTTTGACCATTCACTTATTGCAGAAAATATTGATTATTTCCAGCTTTTGGCTATTACAAGTAAAGCTGCTATGAACAATTATGTACAAGTTTCTGGATGGGCGTAAATTTTAATTTCTCTGAAGTGCAATTGTTGAATTGTATGGTCATTGCATATTTAGTTTTATAAGAAACTACCAAACTGTTTTCCAGAGCAGCTGTAAGATTTTACCTTCCCAGCAGCATTTTACAAGATGTCCAGTTTCTCTGCATCCTTGCTAGCATTTGGTGTTGTCACCGTGTCTTTTATTTTAGCTGTTGCAATAAGTGAGTAGTGATACTTCATCGTGGTCTTAATTTGCATCTAGTGAAACAAATTAGTGTTGAACATCTTTTCATGTGCTTATTTGCTTATTTCCTCTTCAGTGAAATGTATGTTTATATCTTTTGATCATTTTCGAATTGGATTGTTTGATTTTTTTTTTTTTTTTTCCAAGACAGAGTCTCACTCTGATACCCAGGCTAGACTGCAGCGGAATGATTTTGGCTCACTTCAACCTCCGCCTCCCAGGTTCAAGCGATTCTCAGGCCTCAGCCTCCTGCGTAGCTGGGATTACAGGTGCACACCATCATGCCTAATTTTTGTATTTTTAGTAGAGATGGGTTTTTGCCATGTTGCCCAGGCTGGTCTCAAACTCCTGGCCACAAGGGATCTGCACTCTGTCCACCTCGACCTCCCGAAGTGCTGGGATTACAAGTGTGAGCACCATGCCCGGCCTACCGTTGAGTTTTGAGAGTACTATACGTATCCATTATAGATTCTGGATGTAAGTCATTTGTTGGATATGTGGTTTGCAAACATTTCTCCCAGTCCATACCCTGTTTTTTCATCCTTTTAACAGGATTTCTTGCAAAGAAAAAGTTTTAAATTGGATGAAATCTAATTTATTTATTTCCTTATGGATTATGCTTTTCGAACCATTCACTGTGCCCTAGATCTCAAATGTTTCTTCTACGTTTTCTTGTAAAAGATTTTTTAGTTTTATATTTTAGATTTAAGTCTATGATCTACTTGAGTTATTTTTTTAATAAAGGTATGAAGATAAGGTCTTTTTTTTTTTTTTTTTTTTTTTTTTTGCCTATAGATATCCAACTGCTCCAGCACCATTTGTTAAGCAGATGATCCTTCCTTTTCTTTTTGTCTCTTTGTAAAAAATCAGTGTAGGGCTATTTCTAGGTTCTCTATTTTGTTCCAGTGATCTATGTGTCTATTCTTCTCCCAATATTACACAGTCTTGATTTCTGTAGCTATATAAGAAGTATTGAAATATGGTAGAGATGTTCTTCCCACCTTATTCTTCTTTTTCAAAAATTGTCCTAGCTACATAGATATATTTTTTGAGATGGAGTCTCACTTTTGTCACCCAAGCTGAAGCTCAGTGGGGTGATCTCGGCTCACTGCAACCTCCGCCTCCCAGGTTCAAGCCATTCTCCTGCCTCAGTCTCCCGAGTAGCTGGGATTTCAGGCACCCACCACCACACCCGGCTAATTTTTGTATTTTTAGTAGAGACAGGGTTTTCACCAAGTTGGCCAGGCTGGTCTTGAACTCCTGACCTTAAGCAATCCTCCTGTCTTGGCCTCCCACAGTGCTGGGATTACATACATGAGCCACAGCGCCTGGTGTTGTCTTAGCTATTGACAATCTGTTACAGCAACAATCAAAAATGAGTACACATAGAAACAGATTAATTAATGAAACAAAATAGAAAGTCAAGAAACAGACTAATCTATATGCAAACTTCAGCATGCATTTCCTAACAGTGGCCAAAAGATGGGCTGTATAATAAACGATTGCTTGACAAGTGTCTATCCATTTGAAAAGTTAAATGTTAAATCCTTAGTTTAAACCACATAAAATAATAAATTCTAAAAATTCAGAGACCTACATGTGAAAACATGAGGTCATAAAGAACCAGATGACAATTTAGGAAAATATTACAGTATAATACATCTTGAGTTGGCATAGGCACTTCTCGACATTATACCAAGGCTATGAACAATGAATCTGACATCTTTAAAGATGTAAAAATTAAAGTATCGTCTAAGTCAAAAGACACCATAAACAACTGTTTAAAAAGGCAAATGTTGGGGAAAATGGTGACACATCCACAACAAATTAAAAGTAACCATCTCTAAAACACAACAGCTTTTGCATATCAATAATAGAAACTAGAACAACCCAATGAAAAACTGTGTTCAGGCATGGCACTACTTCACAGTAAAGCACAAAAGGATTAAGAAATAGAAAGTATAAAAGGAAAACAATAAAAGAAATGGAGACTAGATCCCAGAAGTTTCAACGTTCATCCAATAGAACTTCCAGACATAGATAATAGAAAGACTGAGCCCTGCACGGTGGCTCATGCTTGTAATCCCAGCACTTTGGGAGGCTGGGGCAGGTGGATCACCTGAGGTCAGGAGTTTCAGACCAGCCTGGCCAACATGATGAAACCCCGACTCTACCAAAAATACAAAAATTAGTCAGGTGTGGTGGCGGGCACCTGTAATGCCAGCTACTTGGGAGGCTGATGCACAAGAATCACTTGAACCTGGGAGGCGGAAGTTGCAGTGAGCTGAGGTCGTGCCACTGCACTCTAGCCTGGGGACAGAGCAAAACTCCAAAAAAAAAAAAAAAAAATTAAAATTAAAAAAAAAATAGACTGGAAAGAAGGCAGTACTTGAAGAAATAATGTTCTAGAATTTTCTGAACTGAACAAAGACATGAATCTTCAAACTGAAAAGAGCCACCTAGTTCTGAGCCTGCTTAACACAAGTGTGCACATAAACATGCACACGCACACGCACACGTGCACACGCATGCACACGCACACACACACGTGCGTGTGCACACACACACACACACACTCCCTAGAAGTAAAATTTCTAGGATAAAGATACAATCTTGAAAGATCCCAGAGAGAAAGAGAGAAGAGAGAATAGAACAGAGAAGTTTTTCAAGCAGCTGATTAAAAATAACTTTGGGTTGGACATGTTGCCTCACGCCTGTAGTCCCAGAACTTCGGGAGGCCGAGACGGGAGG